TGATGATGCCGGGTTTTTGAAGAATTTGATTTTAGCCTGTGTTCCTGAGAGCTACCATGTACTGTTGGAGGAGCCAGTATGGAGGGGTTGGGGGGTGGAGAGAATAAAAGACCCAGACATCTTAGGTCAAGATACGTATCATATCCCCAAGTGGTGATGTCGAATAGGTAATTGAATTAAGGAACCCTAGGTCTCCTGTATCAAGATACCACAAACTGGGAGTCTTAAGACAACAGAAATTTATCATCCTCAGCTCTGGAGGCTAGAAATTTGAAACCAGGGTTTTTGCAGGGGTGTTTCCTTCTGGACGTTCTGAAGGAGAATCTGTTCTGTGTCTCTCTCTCCTAATTTCTGAAGGTTGCCAGCAATCTTTGGCATTCCCCGGCTTGTGGATTTATCACTCCAATCTCTGCCGCTGTCATCACACATTTCCCTGTGTGTGTCTCTCTTTATGAGAGCATTAGTCATAGTGGAATACAGCCCATCCTACACTGCTGTGATCTCATCTTAACCAATTATGTCTACAATAACCCTATTTCTAAAGGTGCTCACATTCTGATGTACTAAGGGTTAAGACTTCGCCGTACCTTTCCAGGAGACACAATTCAACGCATAACAAGTAAGAAGCACAGGCAGAAGAGATACACTGGGGAATTATTGGAGTTTAAGGTGTTATTTACAGACACAGGCTGAGAATGCAAAGGCAGTGAGTGAGATAGTAGAGTCCTGACATCCTCGAGTGTTGAGAAATTTAAAGGAAGCAGCAAAGGAGACTAGAGAGATAATGAGGTAGGAGGGAAAACCAGAAAAGCATCATAGCCTAGAAATTTGGTAAAGAGAATTATTCCAGGGGGATGGAGTGCTCGACTGTAAAATCCTGCTAAAAGATTATACTTTCAGAGATCATTTGTATAGTTTGTAAAATCCTGCTGATGACAAATCCAGTACAACTAATAATTAACTATTGAATTTAACAAGGGGCAATAATTAGTACCTACCTTACAGGGTTGATGGGAGGGTGGATATAAAGTTAATACCCCCAAAACACTCGAAGTTTGGCACGTAGTCAGATCTCAGTAAGTGTTCACGCTTATGTTGGAGTGGGGTGATGGAGGCTAACCCACATTCTGCTGTGTGAACTTTTAGTTGTAACCCAATAAATCCATTCGAGCAGCAGAGCAGACTGGTTAGAAAGCATAAACTGTAGAATCGACGTATCTGATTCTGAATTCAGGCTCCACTACTCACTAGCTGGGTAACTCGTGTGAGTTGCTGAATCTCCCCTTGCTTTCCGTTTATTGACCTATAAAATGAGGATGACGACAGTACCTACCTCGAAGGGCTCTCCTGAAGATTACAGATTATAAGAACGTTAAAATGATAGTAGAGTGCCTATTACATAGCAAATGCTGCAGAACAGATTATTTCTTATTAAATGTGTTTAAATGAGGACCTTAATTTATTGAAATGACTTTGTATCAAAACTGCTCCAAGCAAGCTGTGTTGGTACACTGCTAGCATATATTTTCACCAAAAACAAAAACAAAAAAAAAAATACAAAACCTCACTGCTTCATGAGATCCGGTTACATGGACTCGGGAGGTACTGGGATGTCTCGTTTTGAATATAACTTAAGGAGCTTTGTGGACTGAATCGGAGCCCACTTCAATAACACGATGTTTACTCGACTACATACTACCTCATTTTACTCTCTCTGCAGGAGAATATGTCGTCATGACAACCCACTTCCATCTCAAGCGAAAAATTGGCTACTTTGTGATCCAGACCTACTTGCCATGTATTATGACTGTCATTCTGTCACAAGTGTCTTTCTGGCTCAACAGAGAGTCTGTCCCTGCCCGCACGGTCTTTGGTGAGTGTTGTTTTATGGAGAACGAGGTGGGGGGAGACGTTTGCAAAGTCTTGTGATGGGCAGTCAGAGTAGGCGTAAAGGAGGTAAAAGAACCATTACCAGAGATAACGGGAGCGATGCCTGAGCCCAGCATTAATAACTGACTCATTGGATCTTGGTATTTCAGACAACTGCATCCTTAACAGAGAAGTGGGAATAAGAAGAGTGTGGGAGTAGGAAGGTGACTGAAATGCTTCCTGTCTCAATCAGCTTTCCTCCAGGAACTGGAGAGGGATGGAGCCTTCAGTGAAAAAGAGGAAATTAGTGGGCAGAGCTGGAGAAGGTGAAGGGTGGGACTAAGCTGACAAAACATAAGTGGATTAGGGGCTTTTTTTATGACCTATTTTTTTGTCCTGCCTCTCTTTTGCTGCCTCTCCTCTAGCCTTTTTGCAATTATGGATTATCTGATATTCGGTCAAGGTTACACAAGTTTGAAGGGTTTTTTAATAGTGCGTACAATCAGAGAGATTTTCTTCAGTATGAATTCACTGGTGTCTAGGGAGAGGCTTGTATGTCATTAGCACTTTTCCCTGGGAGGCATACAGCATATAAAACATTCTCTGCCTGTTTTTCCCCCTGTAGTAAGATTTTGTTTTAGGAGATAAATATTAATTAACTCTTTTAGTCTACTAAACTGCCTCCATGGCATGGTGGCTGTGAGTCATACACTTAGATGTGCTAAGTAACCACACAGGAGGCCAATATTTCCTACCAATATCCTGAAGCTATACTGTGTAGTTAAATAGTAAATGATGTTTCAGAAAGAAGCAGCATTTTAGGTCAGGTAGAGGAAGAGAGAGTAATGGAGAAAGAATAATCTGGAAAGTAGGAAAAAATTTAAAAAAAAACTAGAAGGGTGTGATATCATGGAAGTCAAGAGAGAAGAGTGTTTCACGAAGCAGGGAATAATTGTGAATTCTACTGTGTGTTTAGGTAGGATACAAATGGCAACTGTCTGTTGGATTTGGTGATATGTTTGGTTGGTTAACGATCTTAAAAAGAACAGTTCTAGTGAAGTGGAGGGCGGAGAATCTATATAGAAGGTTAAAGATGCCCATTTTTGAAAATATAACAAACTAGATACCTCAAAAAAAATCTTTCCTCACAAAATCCTAGAAAAGCTAGCTAAAACATTCTTTTTTAAAAAATATATGAGCTTAAAAAATTAAAGGAAATACTCGAAGGGACCCAAATTGAAGAAGGAACTGAAACTCGGATTGTTAATCACGTGAGCTGATACTGCTGTAGCAGAAAGATGGGCGGATGGACTACTGGTCTTCATAAGGAAGAATTTGAGTTTTAAGCTTACACGAGAAAGGCTTCGAGCCTGAGTGAAGTTAAGTGTTAGAATTAGGACTGTTGGAGGCTGAATAATGGCACCCGAAGATAGCCACGTCCTAATGGCTGGAGCCTGTGAGTGTGACCTTATATGGCAAAAGAGAATGAAGACGTAAACTAAGTTAAGGATCCTGAAATGTGGACATGAGCCTGTATTATCTGGATGGGCCCCGAATGCAGTCACAAGTGTACTTATAAGAGTGAGGCAGAGGGACAGTTGAGTACAGAGCAGAAGGCAGTGTGATGAACAAAGCAGGAGAGATTTGAAGGTGCTAATGCTGTTGGTTTTGAAAGAGGAGGGAGGGGTCCACGAGCTAAGACATGCAGCTTTAGAAACTGGAAAAAGCAATGGATTCTCCCCTGTAGCCTCCAGAGGGAGTGAGGCCTTGCTGACACCTTGACTTTAGCCCAGTGAAACAGACTTCCGACTTCCGGCCTCCATAACTGTAAGAGAATATCTCTGTTGTTTAAGCCACTCGATTTGCAGTCATTAGTTAACAGCAGCCGTAAGAAATGAATACTACCTGCATTGATGTGAATCTCCAAGATAAAACATTAATTTTAAATGTATTACAGAATTTTCATGTAAGAACAAAGAGCCAAGAACAGCCAATATCCTCCGACAGAAGAACGGAGTGCAGGGACTTGCTCCATAAAATGTCAAAAATGATGTAGTAATCACTTTTGTAGTCATTAAGACAATGTATCACTGTCACAAGGAAAAAGAAAGCATCATAGAGTAAAAGTAGATCCACGTATGTGAAAACTTGATTTATGACAGAGATACATTGTAGAGAATTAATCTGAGATTGATCATAGACTTAAATATAAAAGAAATGCTCATAGACTGAATATAAGACCATATCTTTGCAACCTTTTGGAAGGCAGAAATTCTTTAGTGCACAAAAAATAACTGAAAAAAAGGATTGGACTTCATCAAAATCAAAAATTTTCACTCGAAGTATATATAATATTAAGAAAATGAAAAGGCAAAGCATAGACTGGGAGAATATATTTCATACGTGTACAGATCTGACAAAGCATCGATTCCAAAATTATAAAGCGCTCCTTCAATTAAATAATAAAAGTACTAAGAATCCAATTTTAAAAATTGGAAAGGGACATGAACAGACACTTCATCAAGAAAATATATAACTGCCCATAAGCACATGAAAAGATAGTTAACATCATTTTATATCAGGGAAATGTAAATTAAAACCACATGGAGACATCACTTTATAAACTCTAGAATAACTAAAATTTAAAAGACTGACAATTCCAAATATCTGTGAGGTTGAGAAGCAATTGGAACTCTCATACACTGTTGGCGAGGATATAAAATGGTATAGCTACTTAGGGAAAAAAGTTTGGCCGTTTCTTAAAAGTAAAAAGTACATTTACCCTAAAACCTAGGTATTTCACTCCGAGGTATACATACCCAAGTGAAATGAAAATATATATCCATAAAAGGCTTATACAATCATGTTCATAACAGCTTTATTCTTAAAAGTCCCAAACCAGAAAACATCCAAATGGACATCGACAAGTGAGAATGGGTGAATGTATTGTGGCATATTCATACAGTGGATTAATAACTGTAGATTCACATTATATGAATCTGAAAACAAAGTATGTCAAACCAAGAAGCCAGAAACAAAATAGTACAAAATATATGATTTTACTTATATGGAATTTTCCAAAACAGGCAAAGCTAAGCTATGGTGTTAAAAACCAAAGCAGCGTTTTCTCCGGGGTTATGGACTGGCTGGTATAGTACAGTATTCTGTATCTTGACCGGGGCAGCGGTTATACTTTGCCCAAACACTTTGAAATGTTCAAACTATTTTTATTGTATATAAATTATAACCCAATTAAGAAAGCGGACGTACTGGGACTACAGATATTGGAGATGTCAAACTTTCAAACAGCCATGATGAATATGGTTAAGCAGATGAAAGGAAACATGAGAATTTCATCATATGAATGGTATGTGGGGAGTGAGCACGTGTGAGAGGAAGCACATTGAAAAAGCTAAAACTGGAAAATATCAACAAAAACTCAGTAGTTTAGATACTGTTGAACTGAGAACCCATGAATGGGAAGAAAATATCTAGAATGAGGCGCAGAAAGGCAAAAATGTATAAAATACGTAAGAATGAGAAACAACAAGATTTCTGGAGAAGGTCTGACAGAGTAATTGGAATCCTAGAAGGAGAGACATGAAAGAATGTCACGAAGCAATTTGTGAAGAGATAACGGCTGAATGCCACCCAAGCTGGATGAAGGACAGAGGCACAGCTATAAGAAGCCCTAAGGACCTGAGTAGGAGAAATTGAAAGACGTACAAACAGACACATTAGAGTGAAAGTTATGAAAACAAAGAGCGAAGAGAAATATCTTAAAAATAGCTTGGGAAAAAAGTACATGGCCTTTAAAGTCATAACAGACTACCAGCTGAATTCAACAGAAACAATGAACATTTTCAGAGGAAAAAAATAAAACACTAAAACTTCATTACCATCAAACCCTCACTAAAGGGAGTTCTTCAAGCAGAAGGAAGATTATCCCAGAAGGAAGGTTTGGGATGTCTTTGAAAGAATGAAAATAATAAATATATGGATAATGCTAAATGACTATTGAATGTATAAAATAACAACAGTGGCTTATTGAGTATACAATATATTTAGAATAAAAGACTAGACTGTAATGTAATCTATATCAATTGAGTTGGGGATACAAGGAGATGAAATGTTCAAAAGACTTCATTGTCAGAGAAATGTGTAAAAGTACCAATTGATATTTAGTTTTCATAGGTCAAAGATTCACGCTAACTGAAACTCTCATGCATCTGATGGGACCATGAAATGGTACAACGGCTTTAGAAAACAATTTGGCAGTCTCATCTAAAGTTAAGCATATGCTTACCATGCAATCTGCAGTTCCATCCCTAGGTGTTTACCGAGAGAAACGAAAGCATGTGCTCATACAAAGACTTGTACGTAAATCTTCCCAGCAGCTTTATTCATAATAGTTGAACACTAGAAACAGTCTCGATGTCCATTAATAGGTGAATGGATATTCAAATTATATGAATACAATGGAACAGCACTCTGAAGAGGAATGATAGACATGACATGAAAAAATCTAAAGAATATTATGCTGAGTGGAGGAAGCCAGACACAGTTGAATCCATATCGTATGATATTTATGGGAAATTCTAGGGAGAAACATGTCATCTACAATGAAAGAAAGCAGTACAGTGCATTAAAAGAATGAGGTGGTTACCTGGGGCCAAGGATGGAATGATCTCAAAGGAACCTTTGAGATGATGGAAGTATTCTATATAGGACACTTAGGAGACAGGGTGGAGAGGGTATCACCAGATAGAAATATCTCAGGAGCACAGATTACCACATGACTGTGATAGTGTAATGGTCTAAAGAGTAATAGAGATCAAGAAAAATATGGACCCCTACCTCTTGACCTATTGATTATGAATGATCAGCCACCTTTTGAGAACCAAAACGCTATATTAAATAGGCGAGTCGGGTTTCAGTTAAGATCAAAAGAGGAATGTACATTTGGAGAAGAGGTTGAGAATATAGGTGGATTTGTCACAGAGCAGCAGAGATGGAGAGTTAGCAGATTTGGGGTGAAGGGGGTTGTAAATCCATAAAATGAATAATTCAAATACAGGTAAATGAGATTTGGCAGTACATTACAGTGATAATTTTGTATTTTTCAGAAGAAAATTTAAAACAAATTCCTCTTGCTTGGTTTTCTTTTTATTATAATGACCACCTTTTGGTATTTCATTGTTACTGAGATATATTTTTAGAATAAAATTGTGTTCTCCAAGGGGGGAAAAAAAAGAAGTAATGGGGGATAAGTCATATTCAGTAATGTACTTTGTAAAACAGAGTTAAGCCCGATTGAAAATGAATTAACAAAAAGCCTTTTCCTTCTCGTGGTATCTGAGCTCAACAGGTTTATGAAGTCTAATTATGTTAGATTGTCCCCTGAGGAGAGCGAGTGCTCATTTTGAATGCTATAGTCTGAAACATTTTCATTTTGGGATCCCTACGACCTAAGTCTGCAAGACACAGAAGAGATGGTTAATGTTGTGGGAAAAAAAGAGAATTAGAACTATGGTATTGATAATAACAATATAGGTACTATAAGAAAAGTACATCATTCACTCTGCTGGGAGCAAGTGCGGGCTGGGCAGAACCCTTTCCCTCATCCCACGTGCACTAGGAGCCTCTTCAATTGTGTTCAGGGTTGAGGACATAGAAGCGGATGGATCACCCTCGGTCCCCGCACTCAAGAACTCCTGATTTGGTGTGACAGACACGTGTTATACCAAAGAAGTGGACTAGGCTTTTAGACTTGCTCGGAGGAAGTGAGATGGGGCAGTCACCAAAAAAAAAAGAAAAAAAAAACCCAAAACTTTCCAGAAGAGTCTTCAAAGAGAAGCTCTGGATGGCAGGCCCGGATCTCTTTTAACATCCAAACCTCTTTGTCCATCCGTGAAGTGTACCGAAGGCTTTAATGAGGGTGCTGCCAGCTCTGACTAGCTAAGAGCTCTTCACAAGATGACAGTTCTAATTGAGCCCTAGAGGCTAGAGCTCTAAAAGTCTCTACTGAGATCCGGCACAGAAACACTTGTATGTCAGCGTAGTTCTCACCCTCCAAGCATTAGCACATTGCTGCGAATGTGCCAAGGGTGGGCAACCACATAGGCTGATAACCATAAATGAGATGACTTGTTTTTCCCATGAATTACTCCTTGCTCAGTGTGGTCAGTGGGTTATAGAGCCTTGGGTCCGTTTTCAGAGCTTACAAGGCTACAAATTCGGATAGTTTAATAGGTACTAGCTAGCTATGTGGCTGATTCCTGACAGAACTTAAAATGTATTTTTGCTAATCAGCCTTGATGATTCTGCCTAGTTTGTGCAGTGGTACTCCGTTAGACTGTCTGTTGAAACTGTACTAAGTCTTGGGAATAATATAGTCAATAATATTGTGAAAGCATCGTACGGTGTCACATGCTTGCTGGACTTATCATGATGATCACTTCTTGGGATGTATAAATGTTGAATAACTATGGTGTACATCTGAAACTAATATAATGTTGTATGTTAGCTATATTTTAATTTAAAAAAATCTTTTAAAAAAACTGTACTAAGTCTTTTCCAGTCTGGATTTTCATTTATATAGCAAATGTTTAAGTAAGGTACTCAAGGAAGCAAGATATGAGAGGAGGCCCCAGAGGCTGCACCTGGGTAGAGTAAGTAGGCCTTTTCTGCTTGCTTTTCTCTATAACAGTGTTCCCAACCCCCAGGCCACAGACTTATAATGCTCTGTGGCCTGTTAGGAACCGGGTCGCACAGCAGGAGGTGAGTGGTGGGCAAGTGAGTAAAGCTTCATCTGTATTTGCAGCCGCTCCCCAGCGCGAGCATCACCGCCTCAGCTCCACCTCAGATCATCAGGCGTTAGATTCTCATAGGAGCCCCGGTCCCTTGTGCCAAAAAGGTTGGGGACCGCCGCTCTATAACATCTCTCACCCCATTAAGACTTCTTTCTATGCCCTATTTGGCCTAGGTTCATGAGGCTCACATTTCCATCTTCTTGAGCAGGCCAACACTCAGAAAGAGGTTCTGACGATCCTCTCTTCCCCAAGTCTGGATGACTTTGGGTACAACTGCCTCATCACCTCTGGAGGATAGAGAAGGTAGGGAATAGTCATAGATGGGGAGAATGAAGGCACGGAGAAATTAAGAAAATTGCCCAAGATACCATGCAAGTAAGTTGTAGAACTCAAGACTTCTAATTTTTAGTGTAGGTATTCGAGATTAGAATACTATTGTTAACAATGATACGGTTATTATAATATTGTTAAAAATGTGTTTCTAATTATACTACTATAATTAATCATAATTATGACAATACTACTGTTAATAACAACTGTAAATATAAGATTAATGTTATAGGAACTCCTATTTATCGAGCGATTACCATGTGCCAGATATTATGCTGTGGGCTTTGTGAGTATCATTTCACTAGGTCTCCCAGCAAACCTCTGAGTGTGGTATCATCACACACATTTTACACATGGTAAAACTGAGGCTGAGTTGGGTAAAGCACCTTTTTTTAAGGTCATATGACTAGTAAGTGGGATTGCCAGAACTTCAGTCTGTTTCAGTTTGATTCTAAAGCTCATACTGTGAACCACAACAGTACACAGCTCATATGTATATCTAAAATATGAACGGATTAGGAAAAAACTCAATCGAATGTAACAGTGAATAAAGGAAAGTCATAAATTTAGGTTAATAATACCAAGAAAAAGAATCCATTGATCTAAAAGCAAGCTGTGGTTTGGTAAAACTCGCAAGAAATAAATATTGGAATAACTTTGGTTGACCATGAAACTCAATAGGACCTCGATTGCGATGCAGCTAAAGAAATATTTTCCGCGATAGTTTGTTACATTATTAGAAGAATAGTGTCCACAATAAGGGAAGTGAACATCCTGCTGACCTCAGACCATGTCTTGAGTTTTGGGCTAAGTTCTGGGCTGTTCAAGAGAGAACTACCAGAATGATCGAGGAAGAGAAACAAGAAAAGGAACTGGCCGTGTTCATTCCGGAGATGAAGTGATTCCTGAGGACGTACGGGCACCCTCTCCAAGTCCCTGAAGGCCTGGGCTAGAGAGAAGGGGACAGGTTTTTCTCTCCTGTGCTGTCAGAGAAGGAATCTGAGGTCAGTCTGTGGGCTAGCCGTTAGAAGGCAGGCTTCAGCTCATAAGCTAGATTTTTCTTATTACTCTCTTACGATGAAATATGTTATCTACTCTTCAGTGGAAACGTTTAAACGGAGGCTAGAGGACAACTTTTAGAAATGGTGTACAGGAAGTCCCTACTACTGTGAGAATTGGGACGGGGTGGTTACCAGGTCGAACCATACCGCTCTGATGCTCTGATTTTTACCTTCAAGCGGCCATCTGAGTGGGGTATAGGGGGTATAGCTCCTCCTTTCAAGTAGGAAGTTGGTGATCTCCTCAGATATGCTCTACAACTGGTTATCATCTCTGTCCCCAGGTGTCACCACTGTTCTCACCATGACCACCTTGAGTATCAGTGCCAGAAACTCCTTACCTAAAGTGGCATACGCGACGGCCATGGATTGGTTCATAGCCGTCTGTTATGCCTTTGTATTTTCTGCGCTGATCGAATTTGCCACTGTCAACTACTTCACCAAGCGGAGTTGGGCTTGGGAGGGCAAGAAGCCGGAGGCCCTGGAGATGAAGGTGAGATACAACAAAGATGGGGGCTGGGAAGCACTCCCTGAGAAAACTGTATTGGAACCAGGAGTGGGCAGCCTGCAGCCCGTGGGAACTGGCCGGGGCTGTGTGCTATTCACTGGGGTCATCAATCCAGTTCTCAACTGGAGTGCTTCTTGGCAATGTGATGTGTTTGCTGGGGGCAAAGCAAAGAGGGTAGGTACCATGGAGGGTTGATGTCTTGTGGTGAGAGACCAAAGCGAAGCATGATTCTGCTAAATCTAGACTCAGAGGGAACCCTTTGTGCTTACGAGGTCACCCAGAAGAGTAGACTCTATCTTCAACCCAGAGAACAATCTTTAGGGTCACCTCTGCCCCTCACTTTCCAGTAGGTTCCCATTACAGTCAGACCAAAGTGATCATCATTCCTTGTGTCTTTGCTTACTTTTTACTCTCTACCTGGGATGTTCTTTTTTTCCCTGCCTGGTGAACACCTACTCATTTTTCAAGACCCAGATGAAATGCTATTTTTTTCCATAGAGCCTTTCCAGAATCACCCAGATAGCTTTAGCTTTTCTTTTAGCTTGGGGGTGGGTAGAGTGGGAAGGGTGCTCCTGATATTAAAAGCATTTATTTGTATTAGAGTTATTCGCCTACTCCCTAGACTAAACTTCTTGAGGGCAGAGGCTCGTCTGCATCATCTTTCTAACTAGACAGCATCCTTGAGCACAGCATCTGACTCACAGTAAAAACAACAAATGTTAGTTGGATTGGTCGATGGATGGGAAGGAAGAAAATAGAAAGAGAAAAAACAATAAACCAACTGGAATTGGTAGGAATAAAACATTAATACAGTGAAATCAAGATTGTTTTCCTTGGCTGATTTAAAAGAGTTCAGATCTCTAGATGTAGATGAAGACTATCCAAAGATGCTAAAAAAAAAAAAACTGGCAGGTGTGGGCCCAGAATGATCCCAGTACTATCTGAAGAATCATGGAGAAAAGATTTTTTTTTTGTCAAACTGGAGGAAAAAATATATAGTCCATAGAATACAGACTGGCGAGTTGGCAAAAATCTAATAGATTTTAACAATTTATTCAGATAAAATTTATTAGCTCCTTGCTATAAATTATGAAGAAATAAGCACATTTCTACCTTCTCCATCTATTCTACCATAGGATTTTGGGGTTGGTTTTATTCTTATACTTAATCTAGTTGTTACCTTTGTGCTTTTAAAAGATATTTACCCATGTAATGCTTGATTTATCAGCTATGAACAAGGTCTATCGACTCTTCGCCCACTACAAGATAAAAGGAAATTAGTATAAATTATTCTACTTTTTACCTTGTCTCTCTACCAGCCCGTCATCTCCCAGGTTTGTTTGTTATACTACTATTTCTGGATTGTCAAATTTTATATCATTTATATGCTTTTATGCAGCCATAATTCTTAAAGTTTACTCATGGCTCTGCATTTAAATGGACTGTCCTCAAAATACTCCTTTTATTCACTTTTCCGTTTATTGTTTCATTTCCTTAGGCTGTCCTCTAGAAGTTTCTTTAAGCTCATGGGAACCACATTGCCTACTGACTTGCATGTGTAAGACTGTTAATTGTGTGTATACTTGAATTATACTTGGGCTGTTTTACAGTTCGTGGGTCACATTCTCTCTCTGATGACTATGTAAACATTGTTGTGCTGAATTCTAGTACTGAATGTTGTTAGGAAGGTATTTACAACCAGCCCGAGAATCTCTCACATAATAGAGAACTTGATTTCATGGCCTAGAAGCCAATATGTATGTTTCTTTTGTTTACAAATTTCAGTTACTTTACAAAGATATATCTTGATCCATCTGTATGAATTTTCCCCAGGACAGCATGCTGCCCTTGAAGCCAACAGAGTCATGGCTGTCTTTGTTTCGGAAAAGCGTTCCTGAAACATAGCTTTGTTCTGTTCTGTTCTCTTCCTAGAAGCACAAATTATACGTACCCCCATAGAACTTTGTCTTTTATATCTACCATTTTTCCTAATAATTTTTAACTCTGTTATTTTCCATTTCATTTTGCTCGTTTTTCTGAAGCCTGTCTTCCCATGTTTCCGTTTTTGTAGTGTCTATTCACCTTCATTTCTATGGTAGTAGTATTTTTTTACATTGATTTTATGACATCCGCTGACTTGTTTTTAGTGTGTTTTATGCTTGTTCTGTGTCTTGTTCCACAATCCTTTATTGGTCATTTTCCCTCCTCTTTGCAACATATTTTGCATCAGTACTATATTAGTTTGTTTTCATTAATTGAAGTTTCATTAGAGGAGTTCTTTACTAGCCCAGGTGTGTGTGAAAGTATCATTTGGAGAGGCACTGAATAAGCCCTTTTATTCTGTACTGGTTGGGCCATATTTAAAGTTGGGTAGTAGTAGTGAGTAGTTGAGAGTGAGTATTTTGAACACCATCTGTTGTCTATATAAATTCTCACGAGTATTCCTCCTTGTAGTGTGATTCTGCTTCTAACTAGCAAGAAGTTTCCCTTGCTCAAAGGAAAGCCTTCTATGTACCATGCAGGGGTGTGTGTTTGTGTGTGTCCTATTACAGCCTTGAATTTTTCTAATCTCTGCCTCTGCTGCCATTATTGGTGGTCAAACTGTGTTCCGGGATGTTCTCACGACCAGCCTGAAAACCAATTTGTTTCAAAACGGGGGTCATTTGTTTCCTCACTCCAGTCTTTTAGGACTCTATTCCTGGCCTGAAATCCATAAGTAGGCATGCTCAGTGTCTTCTGCACCCTGATCCAAGTTTTACTGCATTTTGGAGCGCTTACTTTTTGCTGTCAGGGTTAAAAATGCTTTCAAGTTTCATCGAAGATGGAGTTTTGGTTTCTATCTCTCATTTTCCTTACAGTTTTTGGTTGATTCCAGGGAGGAGAAGAAAGCAAAAATGTCCTGATATATTAAACTGAAAGGTCCCTAGAATATATTATCAAACAGATGTTTTAAAAGCAGTTAGCACTAAGAACTGATATCCAGCCAGAGTTAACTAAGAAGAAACTATGCCAAATTAAGAAATTTTATAAAAAGTTTGCTAGACTGGTGGGCCAGGCAATAGCATAGACTTTATGAAGACATCTGAATAACTTATTAAATTATGCCTTTATGAAGAAGAAACAGCAGGTGAAAAATATTACAATTAGCCTGATGTAGTTCGTTGACCAATTGAGGTAAAATAGAATTGACTGATAGATGGACGTCAACCTGAATGGACATCCCTGTGATAATCCCCAGGGCTTCATCTTTGACCTTTCCCTCTTAACTGTCGTCATCAGAGACTCAAATGAAGGCACCTAAGAGAGCAGATTCAAAGTTGTAAGCTGTCATTAGTGAATGTTCGTTGGAGAGGGGTATCTTTTCAGTTATGGATCAAAAAGAATGTCTAAAGTTTGAGAGAATGGGCTAAAACTAAAGGATCACATTCGCCGAATCAAACAAAGTCTTACACATAGATACAAAAATAGTTCTGGGATAGAAAAGCTTAACAACAGTTGTACATTATAAATCAGATAATGGGATAAAGGGGGAAGTGAACTTAATGTAAGCCTTCCAGGTGCTGTAACTCTCGAAAAGCCAAATTTGATTTGAGCTTAAGAATTACCTAGAGCAAGTGAGATGGTAAGCCCTTTTATTCTGTACTGGTTGGGCCATATTTAAAGTACACTGTTCCAGGCTGGTTGTTACCACAGCGGACAAGGGACAAATGCCTCGAGAGGATGATTGCTCATTTCAGATATCTGAAAGGCTGTCATAGACGTCATGTGAAAAATGTGGTAGATTTGTGTTTTTTGCGGCTGGAAGGAAATGCGGGGGTGGTTTGAAGGCAGAGAGAACTAGAATAAATTGATAAGAGACTGTAGATGTCAAAAATGATGACCGTTTCTCCAATTCCAAGTAGTTATGAGAATGACAAAACAAGAATTGTCTAAAACTCTTCTGCAGAGATGGTGATCTCTGTCTTCCTCTTTAGTCCCTCTCCATAGTCAATCCATTTAAGTTATCTAAAATAAGTCAATTATGAGATTTGAAAAAAAAAAAACCCTATGCATGCATTAAAATGGATCTCTAATGTGAGGGGGCTACCCTTTGTCTGCACTGCTCCAATGTGAAGGAATTAGTGAGAACCACTGACCCACAGAGAAAAATGAGGTGCATTAAAAGTAAAAATATTTGGAAGTTAATCATAACTTACTTTAGTTTCTCTTTTCTTCCTTTAGAGAGACATATTAAACCTTATTTACTTCAAAAAGCTTAGAATGGGTGAGCATGAAACTGTTTACAAGTAATAAATGATTTAAAAATCAGTTTCTGATCTGTACTATTATCAAGAATAAGATAAAATGTAAGGGGAAAGACTACAAAGGAGAGGGAAAGGAATAGGTGGAAACGAAACCTTATTTTCAAATGAAGACAAGTACCTTGTAACAGCACTCAGAAATAGATGGCCTGGGAACTTCTGAGGATAAACTCTATATGTTTCTCACTGCTTTCTCTGAACATCCCACTAAAATGAGAGTAAAGAAATAAAATAGGTATAAACCCACAACCACCAGAAGAACCGGAGAAGGAGTTTCAGTTAGACAAGAGATTTCAATGCATTTTTTAGAAGAATAAACATGAAAAGGAAATAAGAACTGACTCATCGAGCTGGAATAAGGTAGAACTCTGGAGGAACTCGGTGTTTGGGGTGCTCGGTACAGCAGAGAATAAAGCACGGGGGTGCAGCTGGGGGGATTGGTTAAAATCTGCGTACGGAGTCGTCAAGACCTTAGAGTCTGCCCAATGTGAATGGCTGCAGCTAGATGTGTACTTTCCAGAAGAACAGCAGAAGTTTCTCTTCTTTCTAAAAAAGCCAAATGTCTCCAGAGAAAAGACCTTTACGTGTTGACATTTGAGTGTACCCCAGGAAATGACTTGCTTCCAGCTGATAGTCTTAAATCGTAGTCCACCAGTCAACAAGCCGAGCTCAGGGACAGTGAAC